AAAAAAAAAAAGGGAAAAAAAATAAAAACAGGCCTTCTGAACGAAAACCACCATTGTAAACTGTCCAGTTTATTTAAAAAAATGACTACAACAGAGACAACATGATTTCATATCTAGACTAGCTTCCTGGTGTCGCACGGCACAAACATACAACAGGTTCGGTTTCTGTCTTTATTTAAAAGAACAAAGCAAAGAGATCGGAGTTGGGTGCTAGAGGCTTCCGTTTGTTTCCAAAAAGAAGTGTCATGTACATATATAAACCCTTCTGCACAAAGAAGGGTCTTGTCATGTCTTGAAATATTTTAAGTTTTGTCCTTCATGTTTTATGGAATAAAAAGTTCAGCCTTTTTATTGCATGAAACTAAACCTGGGGTTTTGGCCCCCGCCACGCGTGTCCCTGCCCATACACCTAGCTGCTTCTTCTTCTTCTTGCATAATTCGTTGAGATCCTCCGAACGGCAGCTGACTCTCTTGATCCTGGAGAGGAGGAGGGGGAGGGAAATCACACACTCATCGTCATGCTGGGGGAATACTGCAAGAGAGACAGAGCCACGGTGAGAAACCAGGCGGGTCAGACCCCCGGACATCGAAGAGGGGATGCCAAAGGAGGCCGATSACAACTACACAGCAACCTAATTGCATCTAATAAAGCAGGAAGAGAGGATATGCTGGAGACTCCCAATTTATCAGGGCATAATCCACGCTGTAACTTGCTTTTCCGGGAAGAGAACCAGCAGAACGGTATGGGGCGAGATGCAATTTGAAACAAATAATTAACATGCACATGAGTATATGCTGCTAATAGAGGGAGGRGGAGGGATGTCTGCAGCCACCCACGGAGCCTGAACCCGGCCAGGCTGCACCAGCCCCTCCCCACCCTGCACATCCTCCCTCTCCATCAGAACATCCCAAATTTCCACTCACCAGCCTCTTCCTTCCTGCCTGCTTTTCTGTTCTGGAGCAGCTCACACACGGCACCACCCAGGTCCAAAAGGCACCCCCGTGCCAAGCACACCCATCCCCATGCTGGGACACCTCGGGGACAGTCCCCCCATCCCCAGGCAGGCACCCACCCACTCACATTGTCATTTTGGAAGGAATGGAGAAAGTTGCCTCCCAGCTCCCCGTCGTCTCTTGGAGTGCCCGGGGGATTGCTAATGCCACTTATGTTGTTTGGAGAATTCTGTGGGAGACAGGAGGTGGTGAGCAGGTCCCCAAACCACCCCGAAATGTCACAGGGCAGGACCCAGCCCTGCCCACTCTGGTCCCATTCCCTGTGTCCCCATCCATCAGGGTCACCCTGGTGCTGAGGAAAGGGGAACTCCACACACCCACCCCACAACCCCACTTACTTTTGGAAGTCCATCTATGTCTCCTGACCCTGCACAGAGGGGAGAGAAAGGAGAAGAGCCTTAGTGAGCCTGCAGCCACAGTCCCATTCCCCCGATTTCCACCCAAAGGCTCTGCCTTGAGCACTGGTGTGAACTGGGGGCTGACCCTGGGATGGGAGCGGGCACTGGGGTGCTCTGGCAGTGTCCCCAGGGAATGAAGGGCCATGGTGGCTCACCTAAYGATCCGTTCATGTGATGGGGCTCCATCCCGCCCATGCCGCCCATGGGACCGTCAGAGCCGGGCCCCATCGGGAACTGCRGGACAAAAAGGAGACAAAACCAAAATCAGCCACAGAACAACCCCAAGCGGCTGCCACGGTGCTCCTGGGGACTGTCCCCTCCCCAGCCACCCCTCTAGAGCAGGGAAAGGAAGGATTATTGTAGAATCACTGAATTGTTGAGGCTGTAGGAGCCCTTTGAGATCACCAAGACCAACCATCAACTTGGTGCCACCACTAAACTACGTCCTCAAGTGCCACATCCACRCGTCCCTTGGACACTTCCAGGGATGGTGGCCCCACCACTGCTCTAAACAGCAGATCCCAATGCTTGACAGCCCTTTCCATGACAAAGAAAATTCCTAATATCCAATCTAAACCTTCCCTGGCACAACCTGGGGCTGCACCCCCTGAAATAAGGCTGAAGGGCTCACGGTCTTGTGGGTTCCTCTATAAAATTTAGCTGAATGGCARACCCACAGCCATGGCAGCCCAGAGGGCTCCCTCCAACCAGCATCCCACAAGATTTAAGGTTACCCACATCCCCCAAAACCCAGCACCTCGGCCGGAGCAGCGGGACCGCCGCTCTCTTAATAAGCATAAAAAATTAACAAAGTCGCCCAAGAGTTAATCGCTTTTTGATGGTTTGTTTTATTTCTGTTTTGTAACAAATGGCTGAAATCAATTAAACTGCTTTACTCTCAACTGATGAAGTTAATTATGATTTGTTATGGTATCTGATATGTAAATTATTAGAAAGCAGACTTACATTCGATCGACTGCCTGCGGGCGGTACTGGATTAATCATTGTGTAGATGTTGTCACTTGAATTTGTTGAATCTGTGGAACAGTGAAGCCCAGTAAGTCGGGTGATTAATTCATTTCTTAATTAAAACAAACTCATGCCACTTGAACTCATTCTTTTGTATTTTATCACCCAAAATTCCCTCTAACTACCACCATTTTCTGGCTAATTTGTATTTAATGAAGATCCACAAAGTTTTTAATCACAGAAATTCAACTGTGAAAAATAATTCAGCTCCTGGCTGGGAAGCATGGGGAAGTCGTTCCTCACCTTCCTGTGCCCCACAGCATCCAAACCCATAAGGGGTTGTAGAAACATCCCCAAAATCCATCTTGAAGCCAAGCAGCCCATCCCATGCCACTCCCTTCCCAGAAAGCCAAAAGCCACGAAAATTGATCATTATCAACAGGGCAGGGATTGCTGTGCTCAGGGATGGGATCTCCTGGCATGGGAAAGGGTAGGAGCTCGGCAGGGCTGGCTCTGGGGAGTCTCAGGGGGCTCGTACCTGCAGGACTGGGCATGATGGGTGTCCCTGGAGGGCCACCGCCGCCGGGCGGACCCTGCGGAGACAAAGCCGGGTCAGAGGGGCAAACACGAGCATTGCTCACCTTTCTGCGTTTCCACACACTTCCCCCAGCTCTCACAAACCCCAARCCCAGCCCAGTCACGTCCCATGGCACTGAACCCACCCCAAACCACATGAACTGATGGGGCAAGAGGACTCACCACGTATGTACCAGGCGATGAAGAAGAGTATGGGATCTGTAGGGACAAGAGAGACGAGCTCAGCCATGGGGTGCTCCCGCAGGCTGGAGCCCAGCAGGGCACAGCCAAGACCCTCAGTGCCCCCTCAGCCTGGCCAGAGGCCAACAGGGAATTGTCCATTTGCAGGACACTGCCCTTGCTCCCAAATACTCACTGAGTTAGCACTGCTGGGGTTCGGCCACGGTCTGCCAGCGCCCGGCCCCCTGGGGACAAAATTAAATGGTGGAGGGGAAAAAAATAAATGTTGTGTTTTTATCCAGCCAGCCCCCAGTCAGATTTCCAGCCCCCTGCACAGGGATTGCCTTACATGTTAATTCCAGGCATGCCAGGACCTAGGGAGTTGGGTGGAGGTCTCATGCCGCTGCCGTAGTTCTGCAACGATAACCRAGGGTCAGTCTACCGTAACGGGGAGAGACACCAGAGAGACAAGAGAGAGGGGGGAAAAAGGCCAATAAACAAACAAAAAAACCAAGCGGGTCTTGTGTGCAAAAATGAGCTTTTTAAAAAAATTAATGACGGTGAACATAGAGGCAATTGTGTTTATAAAAAAAAAAACAGGCAGCTGAATATGGATGGGAGCCAGGCTGAGCCCCAAAGTTCTCCCTCCCTGCTCTCTGTGGAGGGAAAACATCCCCCCTCCCAGCTCTGGGAGAGAATTCTGCTCACAGCCCCCAGCGCCAGCAACAGCCTTTTGGGTTTTTTCCCCTTTGTGCAGGAGAAAACAGGGGCAGGAGGAGGAAAAGCACCACACTTGGAAGGTTCCTGCTGCAGTGTAAGGATGAGGAAAGGCTGCACGAGCTCCCCCCGAGATGGAGCACTCCTTGCTCCCTGGGTGACTGCTGGAGTAGGGAAAACCAAGCCAGGCTTGTTTTTTCTGTTGCTCCCCAGCTCTCTGCTCCATCCCCCGGAGCGGCTCTGCAGCCGCGGGGAGCGGGCGAGGGCAGGCAGCCCCCTGGGCCTCCTCTCCTGCCTTYTTCCTCCCTGGCTTAGCCTCCAGCTGGGACTGGGAGCCTCAGATCTGCATCCCTCATCTCCTAAAACCAGCTCCAGTACAAAGCCAAGCCCAGGGCGGCGGAGGAAGAGGAATCCCCCGAATGCCGCGCTCCATTTGGTCTGTGCTTTGCTCCCCGTGCCCTCCAGGCGACGTGCAGCCGGATTTAGGTCGCGCTGCCGCTCTTCCCCTCCCACCTCCTTCCCTGTAATGCATCTTTTTGGACTGTGTTTCTGCCATTTGAAGAAAAAATCTGCTACAGCAGGAGGAGGGATGGCTGGTCACTTCCTACACCACAGCCCCTTGGAATGCTCTGAGCTGGATTTTAAGCACAATGCTTTAGTGCGGGCAATTTTTACCTGGATTTACATGATGCACCGCTGAGGGCACCACCAAAGTTTGTTTTGAAGAGGCAGAAAAGGGTTTTCCCCAAACAAATTACCAGCAAGTCCTTAATTGATCCAAATTTCAGCCATTTACACTGAATAGCAGCATCAAGCCCCTTGTTTTTTTTTAAAAAAAAAAAAAAA